TATCGGAAAACTATATTATTTACATGGTTTCGCGCCCTTCCCACCTCTCCAGGGAGGCCCCGCATGAGCGAGGAGGGTATCGGAAAACCATGCTATTTACATGGTTTCGTGCCCTGCCCACCTCTCCAGGGAGGCCCCGCCTGAGCGAGGAGGGCATCGGAAAACCATACTATTTACATGGTTTCGTGCCCTGCCCACCTCTCCAGGGAGGCCCCGCCTCAGCGAGGAGGGCATCGGAAACACATACTATTTACATGGTTTCGTGCCCCCTCCCTCCCCTCCAGGGAGGCCCCGCCTGAGCGAGGAGGGTATCGGAAACCCATACTATTCACATGGTTTCGTGCCCTTCCCACCTCCCCAGGGAGGCCCCACCTTTCCAGCTTCTCCTTCGTGCTGATGTTGTCGTACCCCGTGGGTCCCACGAGACCGTTAATATCTTTATGTGGGGAACTCCGTCAGCATATTTTTTTTTGTGTTTTTTGTTTGTTTCGCTCTTGGGGCCGTCTTGGGCCATCTTGGACGCTCCAACGCGTCGCGACTGGCCCCGTCCAGGTCAGTGGGGAGTGGTGAGGAGAGGGGTAAACCCCTCCCCGAAGGGGAAGAAGGAGGTTGGCAGAGGAAACGCTCTACACCACCTACGCCCTAAAGGGCTGGTGGGATTGCCCTCCGCCAGTCTCCTCTTCTTCCCCCGAGGAGGAGGGGGGGGGGAGGAGGAGGTAGAAGAGGAAAAGGATTAGAAAGGAGGAGGAGGAGGAGGAGGAAGAGGAGGAGGAGGACACTGCGCTGTTGACGCTGCGCTGTTGACGCTGCGCTGTTGACACTGCGCTGTTGACACTGCGCTGTTGACACTGCGCTGTTGACACTGCGCTGTTGACACTGCGCTGTTGACATTGCGCTGTTGACACTGCGCTGTTGACACTGCGCTTTTGACACTGCGCTGTCGACACTGCGCTGTAGACACTGCGCTGTCCGACACCCCGCCTCATCCACTCTCCTCCTCCACCCTCCTCCTCCACTCTCCTCCTCCACACTTCTCCTCCACTCTCCTCCTGTATTCTCTTCCTCCACTCTCCTCCTCCACTCTCGTCCTTGACTCTCCACCTCCTCCTCTCCTCTCTCCCACTCTCCTCCACCGCTCTCCCCTTCCACCCTCCTCTTCCGCTCTCCTCCTCCATTCTCTCCCTCCAGTCTCATCTTCAATTCTCCTCCGCCAGTCTCCTCCTCCTCTTCCCCCGAGGAGGAGGAGGATGGGGGGGAGGAGGTGGAGAGGAGGAGGATTAGGAGGGAGGAGGAGGAGGAAGAGGAGGAGGAGGACACTGCGCTGTCGACACTACGCTGTTGACACTGCGCTGTTGACACTGCGTTGACACTGCGCTGTTGACACTGCGCTGTTGACACTGCGCTGTTGACACTGCGCTGTTGGAATTGCGCTTTTCATTATGCTTTGTTGACAATAGCGTTGTTGACCAACACTGCGCTGTTGACACTGCGCTGTTGACACTGCGATGTTGACACTGCGATGTCGACACTACGCTGTTGGCACTGCGCTGTTGACACTGCGCTGTTGACACTGCGCTGTTGACACTGCGCTGTTGACACTGCGCTGTTGACACTGCGCTGTGACACAGCGCTGTTGACACTGCGCTGTTGGAATTGCGCTTTTCATCATGTTTTGTTGACAATAGCGCTGTTGACCAACACTGCGCTGTTGACACTGCGATGTTGACACTGCGATGTTGACACTGCGCTGTCGACACTGCGCTGTTGACACTGCGCTGTTGACACTGCGCTGTTGACACTGCGCTGTTGACACTGCGCTGTTGACACTGCGCTGTTGACACTGCGCTGTTGACACTGCGCTGTGCGCTGACACTGCGCTGTTGACACTGCGCTGTTGGACACCGCGCTGTTGGACACTGCGCTGTTGGACACTGCCGCTCTTGGACACTGGCGCTGTTGGACACTGCGCTGTTGGACACTGCCGCTGTTGGACACTGCGCTGTTAGACACTGCGCTGTTGACACTGCGCTGTTGACACTGCGCTGTTGACACTGCGCTGTTGACACTGCGCTGTTGACACTGCGCTGTTGACACTGCGCTGTTGACACTGCGCTGTTGACACTGCGCTGTTGACACTGCGCTGTTGGACACTGCGCTGTTGGACACTGCGCTGTTGGACGCTGCCGCTGTTGGACACTGCGCTGTTGGACACTGCGCTGTTGACACTGCGCTGTTGACACTGCGCTGTTGACACTGCGCTGTTGACCCAATTCACCGTTAAGACCTGTTCTCGTTTCTCGCAATCGAGCGCTTCGAGCGTCGCAGTTAGGAGGTGGAGGAGGAGATTGAGGAGCAGCAGCAGCAGCCGGAGGAGGAGGAGGAGAGGAGGAGGAGGAGGAGGAGGAGGAGGGCGATAATGAGGATATTAATCAGGGTGCGACGCTGCGTCCGACGTAGCGCTCGCGCGCAGTGAGTTCTGTAGAGTGAGGAGGGCGCGCGCTCGCGCTGCGCCCCGCAGACCAGCGCCCTCCCCGGCGTCGGCGGCGGCCGTCGCGAGGGGGGCCCATGGGCAAGCGCGCGGCGCCCGAGGCGGTGGCGCCCGCGGCCGCCGCGCCCGCTGCTGGGGCGGCGGCCGCTGCACCCGCTGCCGAAGCGGCGGCGCCAGAGGCGGCGGAGGCGGCGGCCGCGGCCGCCGCGCCCGCCGGCGCCCCCGCCGTGGCGCCCAAACGGCGCGGCGGGGGCGCGTACGCGAAGGCTCGCGCGGAGGCCGCGGAGGCGCGCGCGACCGACGCGGAGGCTCGCGCGGCCGACGCGGAGGCGCGCGCGGCCGACGCGGAGGCGCGCGCGGCCGACGCGGAGGCGCGCGCGGCCGCCGCAGAGCAGCGCGCGACCTCCGCGGAGGTTCGCGCGGTCGCGGAGGCGCAGCGCGCGGCTGCCGCAGAGGCGCGCGCTGTGGAGGCGGCGCGGCGCCAGCGGCCGCCGGAGGACCGCGATGGCGCGGAGTCGTACTGCCGGCTGCTGGCGGAGGTTCTCCAGCTGCACGACATCGCGGTCCTCGGGGGGGGACCTCGCGATGTTGTGCAGTTGGGGGTTCCCTTCCAGCAGCTGCAGGTCCCCCCGCGCTGGCTCGGGGTGCACTCGCGGGCGGAGCTCGTCCAGCGCGGCCGGTGGCCGCCGACGTGAAAAGGCCCGCGGGTACCCACGTGCAAAACACGATGCCTCCTCCTCCTCTTCCTCCTCCTCCTCCTCCTCCTCTTCTCCTCCTTCTCCTCCTCCTCCTCCTCCTCCTCCTCTGCCGGGCCCCGACCCCGTCTTCGGGGTGGGCTTCTCGCCGCGGTCTCGCACCCGTGGGCCCTGCGGCTCGAGAGCCCCCGGGAGCCTTCGGGGCACCGCCGGCGAGACATCGACGTAAAGCCCGGCGGGAGGAAGATGAGGAGGGGGAGGAGGAGGAGGAGGAGGAGGAGGAGGAGGGGGAGGAGGAGGAGGAGGAGGAGGAGGAGGAGGAGGAGGAGGAGGAGGAGGGGGATCGCAGTCAGGAGTCGGCGCACGCTTGATGGGATGGGGCCAGGGCGCGTGGATGCGGCGGCGTCGGGGGGTTGGAGGCGGCGGCGAGGGCGAAGCGGGGGAGGGGGACTGGGAGGGTGGGCATGAGGCCGATGGCTCCCGGGAGGGATTGGGCGCCGAGGAGGGGCGGGGGGGACTGGCGGAGCGAGGGCGGGGGAGGTCCAGGGGTAAGAGGAGGGTCATGAGGACCTCCATGCGAATTATTGACGCAATATTGTGGCTGTCGCGCGTTGCGTGGTCATGGTGCGTGCGATTTCGCGTGTTGCCCACGTGGTTCGAGCGAGCTCTGCTTCATATTGCTGTTCGCGCCCTGTGGCCCGAGGGTGTTTTTGATAAGTTGTGTTCGCTGTCGTCTTTCGGGCGGGCTGCCGAGGCGAGCGCGAGTTTTTCGCCAGATCGGTCAGTTTGTACATCGCAGTGCAAACGTGATTCCTGGGTGCGCTTGACGGGTGTCCCCAGGAATGGGCGCCGTGAGGGCGAGTCGGTGAGGGGGTCAGAATCGGCGCCTTTGGTTTTGAACTTTTTTGGGACTTTATTTGAACTCCCTGGCGAGCTTTATTTGAACTTTGGACAAAATCAACAAAAGGCCGGCTTTCCCACAGTTCCAGCATTACAACACTTCAAGCCTGCTACGGCGAAGGCGAGGGCGAAGTTCCTTGCCAAGTTTTGGAAGCGCGACTCGGCCATCTTGGGACTTCAGGAGGTTGCACGGCTCGCACATCCGCTTGACTGAGCTGCTCAAAGATGTGGGTATTCGAGCCCGAGTATTTATTTCGTTCTGTGAGGGAGAACGTGAAGATATTGGCGGGCTGGCCACTCTTTTCCCTATGCGTAGGGCTGATGATGATGAGAGCGTGGTGTGGGAATCGTCAATACTGGTGCCTGGCAGGGTAATGCGTATCCGTGCCAAGTTCAGTGATGACGCGGGGAGGCCCTGCACGCTTACACACTGGAACATTCACAACCACGGCTTGGACTGCGGATCGCAACGACGCGTCCAGGCAAAGATCTCGGCTGACCTCCTCGAGGCCAAGCGGGACCCCGTCAAGGCAGCTGTACTTGTTGTGGGCGACTTCAATTTCGGCGACAGACTGGAGCACTGCCATTGTGGCGACGACGCTCCTCCCCGATCTGTTGCTGCAGCTCGACACCCGCAAGAACAGCGCTGGCAGCGCTGCTTGAGTGATGCTGAGGAGATGGTTGCCCCATGCGCGACCCACTGGCATGCTGGCCGACAGATTGAGACCAGGATCAATCGGGTCTTCCTGGGCGCTCCGTCCTGGCTGGTGACCCAACGCTTCCAGCAATGCGAGGTGCTGGGTGAGCCTGGGGAGCTGCACAGGAGGGACATCAGCGACCACGCGCCTGTCCTGATCTCTTGGATGTGGCGCCCGCTGCGCCCTCGAGATCCGCTCAGGCCTGCCCCGATCCCCCAGGACATTGTGAACTCCCCCATGTTCAAGGAGAAGCTGGCCCAGTACGAGGAGGTGCTGGACCTGTCGTCGCGTGCCCCGCCTGACATGCACCAGGTGCACGTGCGAGCCATGCAGGCGGCTGCGGCAGAGACGCGTGATGCGCAGCTGCAGGGCATGGCATGGTCGAAGCGGTGCACGGCGCTGACCTTCAGACAAGTGGCAAGGGCGGTGGCGCGCCAACACGTCTCGATGGCGGAGAGGCTCCTCGTTCGCCACACCTGGCTGGAGGAGCTGATGACTGTTGATGTGATGAAGGGCGTGGTGATGCTGAAGGACCACGCGGAGTTCCTCAGACGCTTTGTCCTGGCGCAGCGGCGCGTGGCCAGGGCCAGGCGCGCCGAGCTTCAGGCGGAGCTTGAAGCAGATGAGGAACAGCTGCGAGTTTCTGATCGCCGTCGGCTCCTTGGACAGCGCCGAGCCCTGGAACGTCGTGCTACTCTCTGGTCGGTTCTCCCGCGGCGGCACCTTGCGCGGCCGTGGGAGCCCCTGGCGGCAGGCTGCTCGCCTCGCCTGCCGAGGTCCACGAGGCGCTGGCGAACCACTGGGGCGAGGTCTTCTGCCCCCCCGCTCGCGCAGCGTGCCTGGCAGCGGAGGGCGACGCCTCGGAGCGCTGCCGACGCGAGCGTGACTCCAAGGCCTTCATCGCGAAGTACGGCATGAAGGAGGTTGACTGGAGCTCTCTGGCGCCTCCCTCGGCCATGGCCATCGAGGGGGCTCTGAGGCGCGCTCGGCCTGCTGCACCTGGGGTCGATGGCCTGCCCGCGCGGGCGTGGCTGTCGCACTCGGCGGGCTGCGAGGTGCTCCTGGCGGCTCAGAGATGGATGGCTCTGGGCCGTCCCATGCGCAAGGAGCTCAACATGAGCATCGCCATCTTCCCGCCGAAGAAGGTGCTGGACGGCGACGGCATGGAGGTCATCAGGAAGCCGAATGAGACACGTCCACTCATGCTGCGCTCCACGGGCCCCAAGGCTATCGCCTCTGCGGTGAACTTCAAGCTGAAGAGCATGATCGACCGTGGCGCCTCGAAGGCGCAGCGAGGATTCATCACGGGGCGGGACTTCCTGGAGGACCTGGTGGAGCTCGACGCCATGCCCCGCGTCGCCTCCATGTGCGCGTTGGAGCAAGCTCGAGGCTGGGAGGAGCCGACCCTCCTGAGCTTCGACTTCGCTCACGCCTTCCCGTCGCTCCTCCATGACTGGATGTGGTGGGTGTTGGAGGCGTGGACGGCGCCGCTCGGCCTGGAGCACCTGCTGAAGGAGTCCTACGCCAACGTCGAGGTCGTGGAGGCGGGGCCCTGCCACTGGGTCCTCTTCGTCATCTTGTGCGGGATCTTGCAGGGTGACCCGCTCTCGGGGACGATGTTCGCGATCGGTGCGCAGCCGTTCGTGGAGGCGCGCATGAAGCAGCTGGAGGCCAAGGCCCTTGGCCTGACTCGCTGGTGCGCTGATGACATCCAGGCCCTGATCTTCTGCAGGCGGGGGCTCCGCTCACTGGCGAGGATCTTCCGCCTCGCGGAGCGCCTCGCTGGCCTCCAGCTCCAGCCCAAGAAGTGCGCGGCCGCCCCGCGTTGGGCTCCGTTCTCGGCGGAGGTGGAGGACGCGATGAGGAAGTGCCTGGACGAGGCCTGCGGGTGGGGCTCCTTCACCGTGGCCTCGTCGGTGGAGCTGCTGGGGTGCTCGGTGGGCCCTGGTGCATCGCTGGCGGCCCAGTGGGCTGCGCCACTCGCGCGCCTTCGTGAACGGGTCCTGGCACTGGCGGCATCTCCGCTGGACATGACGGCCGCCTTCTTCGAGCACGGCCGTCGATGCCAGCCCGTCCCGGCCTACAAGGCGCAGCTCTGGCCGATGCCGACGGAGCTGATTGACGATGAGCGCTGTGCCGGCTCGCGAGGTGCTCGGGAAGCCTGTTCAGGAAGAACACGTTCTTCGACTTGGAGACGCTGGGGGGTCCAAGATGCGTGCCCACGTCGGACCTCCTGGCGGCGTCCCTCATGCGCTCGGCCCTCTCGACGCTGGAGACATGGCGTCGGGCCGCTGCGCACCTGAGTGAGGTGGCCTCCCGCAGGCTGCCGATGGTGCGATGCATGTCAGGCCAGCCCTGGCCTTCCTGGTGGGAGGCGCCCGCCCCCGCAGTCACGCTGGCGCGTGCAGAGGCGGCGGGGCGCGAGCTGCTCGAAAAGAGCGGCGCTCCCCCTCTCCTTCCCTCTAGCCTAGGTGGGGCGGGTCGGTGGGAGGACGGGCGGAGGAGACGACTGCAGCGTGAGCTTTTAGTGGGCCTGCGGGCCTCCAGGGATGGGAATCTGCGGGGCCTTGTCTCGGAGAGGCTCCCCAAGTGGTTCGGAGTGCCCCTCCTGGAGGCTGCGGCTGTAGTGTGGCACGACGTGGAGCAGGTCCTGATGCGTGCGCCCCCGAGCTGGAGGTGTGCATGCATCAAGACCTGGCTCGGGGGCTGGGTCACAGACACCTGTCTCCAGAATCGAGACCGTAGATGCTGCCTGGGTTGTGATGCTCCAGATAGCTTGAAGCACTATGTCTGGTGTCTGCACTTTCGTGAGCTGATGCGGGTGGCCCTTGGTCGTCCGTTGCCCAGTGATCCACTCTCTGCCCTTGCCCTCGTCGCCCCCACGCTGGATTCGGCTCGAGGGGTTGCGTTGATGTTCCGTTTGCACCGCCTTCTCCACCTGGAGAAGCGCGAAGCCACCAGAGGGACGGTCCCTGCCTCGGTCGCCCGCTCGATCGCCAGGGCTGCGCGTCAAGCTGTGGACCTCCCTGCTGGAGGCAATTCGGCCCGTCGGCCCCGTAGAGTGGCTAGGTAAGGAGATCAGACTTTCCTGGGGACGCTCCGCCTCCTCCTCCTCCTCCTCCTCCTCCTCCTCCTCCTCCTCCTCCTCCTCCTCCTCCTCCTCCTCCTCCTCCTCCTCCTCTCCTCCTCCTCCTCCTCCTCCTCCTCTCCTCCTCCTCCAACCTCCCCTCCTCCTCCCCCTCCTCCTCCTCCTCCTCCTCCTCCTCCTCCTCCTCCTCCTCCTCCTCCTCCTCCTCCTCCCCACCCGCCCACCGAGAAGGGATCGGCGAGAAGAAAAGCAATGACGGAGCGGGCGGGCGGCGGCCGTCGCCGAAGGAAGCGCCCCAGGGAAGGGTGCGAGAGGCCAGGATGCCGGGCTGCCCTCCGGGGAGCCCTCTCGGAGTCTTCCGAGGGGGGGACGGGGCCGCTCCAGGGGCCACTGGGGTGGGGGTGGCGGCCCCTGGGCTCTCTGGAGCGGCGGGCCCCCTCGCCTTCTGTCGGGCCCGTCCCCCTACAGGGGGATCTTCGACGCAAAAATGAAAAATACCCCAAACATGCCCCCAAAAGGCAAAACGATACTCGAAACATAGTCCCCAGACTATTTGTTGATTATTGTTTGGGTATTTTTTTATTTTTCGTCGGAAACCCCCCTGTAGGGGGACAGGCCCGACTTAACCCTCGCCCCGCCCTCGCCACGCGCGCCGGCAAGGAGGTGTTGGCGAAGTTGATCGACTCGCGGATGAGGGCGCACATGGAGCTGGATTCCAGGCATCGAGGGAGAAAACTGCGCAAGCCTACACACTGATCATGTCTAGTTCTTCGAACATGCTTTGTTTTTTTGGGGGCCAAGCTCCTTTCATTGCTGATTGCTCTATCCTGGGCCTCTTCCTGGCTAGAGGTCCAGGAATGACTACAAACGAGCACAATCAGAAATGAGCACGATTAGAAATTAACGACGTGTAAACTTCTGGAGCTCTGCGCGGGGCGGCGCTGGCCCTCCTCTCGCGGCGCCTCAGGCGCCGCCCCTGGCGCGCTCCGCACGGGAGGGGGTCCAGCGCCGACGCACGAGTTCCGCTCGGACCTCCAGGAGTTTACATGGATGTGGTTCTCTTGTTCCTCCAAGGCAGAGGGAGAGTCAGATCTCTGCCCTGCAGGAGAAGCTGAAGCACCAGAGCGAGCTGGCCGCCAGCCTGCAGGAGCGATGCTTCCAGCTGGAGCGGGCCTTGCGACACATGCAGGTGGACGCGCCCATCAAGGCCGCCCAGGCCTTCTTCTGAGCCCTTCCGCTCGACCGGCAGGCGAGCTGACTATGGACTCGAGACTGAATGCCACATTGATTTCATTAGGCCACAGGCCGGGCGGGCACTACTCCCAGATCAACGTCGACAAAACCTCTCTTGCCCGCAGCCGCCTCGAGCCCAGGTGTGGGGGGGCGGCTCCCGCCACCGCACCCCATCGCCGCGCTGCCTCCCCTCGGATTTGCCGACGCTGTTTGACGAGCCCGTTGGGGTTTGGGATGGCCCAGTGTTCGTGTTGTGTCTGCAGCGGGAGCTCCCCCCCCCCAGATTTCAGACTGGGTCCCACCATCTTCTTGCCGACCTCGCCAGGTCAACCCGCGTCCCCCGAGACCGAGTCTTGCGTCTCCCCGATCCTCCAGTAAGGGGGCAGAAAGGTAGAACCCCTTCGTGCCCGACCTCGTGTTCGTCTCCCCCCCCTTCCCCCCATAATCAAAGTTGGGTCGGGCCTACGCAGCGGAGATCCTGGGGGGTCCACTTTTTTCAACCTCTCACGCCTGTGCTGCCGAATGCCTGAGACAATCTTTGAACCTGGGGGAAGGAGGGAGGGCGGGGTGAAGGGTTCCACTTTCATCTACGCTCTCGTGGCGGCCGCTCTGTTGCTGCTGAACCTCTCCCCGTCCAAGGACAGGAACTCTTGCTTAAGCACGTCGCGCAAGCGGTTCTCTCCCACCGCGCTTCTCGGAGGGGCTCGATGTATACACCACGTCGTCCGATCGGCCAGGACGTCACGGAGCTCGACGGGAGAATTCGGTGTATAGACGCTCCGGCCGCCCACGAGCTGGGCAGCTGGGGCGTCCAGGCACCGAGCTCCTCGGCTGACCAGACGACGCGGTGTGTACATCGAGCCCCTCCCGGCTTGCGCGCGACACGCTGACCATGTCCCAGGCCCCAGGCGCCACCGTCTCGAGCTTCTCACAGCCTCCCGCCCCCGCGGAGCGGACGCGCCATCGGCTTGCGGGGTATGGAGTGTCGCGAGGGCCGCCGCTACGAGACGCTTCGTAAAAGTTCCATCCCTCGCTTCCGCGCTCTACTCTGCACGTCTCCTTCTCGTATGCCACATCGTCCAGGCATTCTCTCTGTCCCGGCCCACCTCCCAGCCATCTGTTCTTCTTGGTTTCCCACTCGAATCCTCCCGCGCCCTCACCCTTCTCATATCATCTCCACATCTCGCCTCCGCCCCAATTCCTGGTCGATCAGGCGTGATGTTCACCATTTCCACTTGAGCTGCAGTGCGTGTCCGCCACCGCGCTTCGCCGTGACCGTCGCTTCGCCATCATCTCTGTTGCCTTCGGGGAAAACCTACGCGGCCTGGAGAGGCAATTCGGCGCATGGCAACCTCCATTCCGCGTGAAGAACTCCTCGTCGCTCAACTTAAAAAAACCGAGCAAGACAGACAAGAGCAAGGGGGCCCGACACAAACGCACACACACACATATACTGTTTTGGCGGTCGCGGCCTCGCGCGCCGCGTCGAGGCGGAGAAAGTCCACCGAACGGGCGGGCGCGAGCGCGCGGGGGGCGGCTCAGATCATGGGGGACCCGCACCGGGTCGAGCAGCCATCGGCGTACCCGGGTATGGGCAACGAGGGTGCGACGATGGCCGAGTGGAGGCGCAGTAGGACCAGCGACGAGCGACGAAGGACAGCCGAGGCCAGGATGGCAGCACGCAGTCGTCCAGGGGAGCGCACACACACACACATACACACCCACATACACCCACACACGCACGCACACTTTTTACTCCAAGGCTTGCTGGTCCAACTCGGCGAGGGTCGATAGCGGGACGCAGTGAAGCATGACTACCACCAAGCATGTGCCGATGGGAAGGCCGCCGCCGAAACGGTTGCACGTGCAGACCAAGGGCGAACATGAGGAGGACACACACACACACACACACTCTTACACCAGCCACGGTAGAGCGCGGCGGCATGCTGTCATGGTGTCGCTCGCGCCCACCGCTGGGCCACCGCAGCGCGACAGTGCCGAGGCTCTGCACGCGAGATCTTGCCCAGTGCCCGGAGGGCGCCAACGAAACACGTGCACCCGTCCCGGCCAGGCACATCTTGGGCCCAGGCTCAGTTACGTGTGCCTGCATGGCCAAGCCAGATCCTGGGCCCAAGATGGCCTGCCCAGGATCGTCGGCGCGCGTGTGACTATTTGGCGCCCGCCTGAGTGTATCCACTGCTCGAGAGTCCCCCCCCCCGCGAGAGGTCGAGATGCTCAGGCTGCTCGAGAGCTGCGGGGTGCGCAAGCTGCGGCCCGCCGAGGTCGCAGCGCTGCGGACCATCGTCGACCACGGCGGGGAGCGGGCGGTCGTGGGGTGCTTCCCCCCCTCGAATACCGACGCCGTGAAAACAAGGGTATTCACGCTTCGGTCGTTTCGGTTGCGTCGCAGTCGGTTGCGTTCGGTTAGTTTCGGTTCGGTCAGGCGGGGAGAGCGCGAAAGTGGGCGATGAAGACAGAAACTCAGGCATCCGACGATGTGATTTGTTCATGAAGGCGTTTGCTTCAAGACCCAGACAAGCTCATTTGCATGGCATTTCGCCCCCTCCTTCCCCCCGCCCCTCCCCACCCCTCCCCCCTCCCCTCAACCGCCTTTTTAAACAGCACTGGGCCGAGGCGGCGTTCAAGTGAGTCCAAATTTGCGTGAAATCCAAAATTTCTTTCGGGCATTGCCATGCCCTCCATCGTCCCCCTCTATGCTCGCCGGAGTCTAAGGGAAAACAGCCTCCACGGCCCCAGAGAGCCCGACCCCTTCCCCGGGCGTAGTTTTCTGTCCCGGATCTGTTTTTCATGGCCCGGGGCCCAATCAAATGCCCCCGAGGCCAAACTTGATGAAAAACAGCGAGATCGAACAAAATCATATCGTCGGAGGTCTGGGAAGCCGCGACAAAGCGGCTGGAGCCCTCGGCACCACCCGCGCGCGTGGCCTCTCAGGACAGACCGGTGCGCATGCGATTGTTCACGGCGCCAGGATGCTGGGGATGTGCGATTCCTGGATGATATTTGAGGATGCGCGTCTCCACATGCGTTTAGGCCTCCCTGATGGGGGCTAAGCAGATGGGGTCAACGGATCAATCCGCATCGACGATGCAGCTCGAGATTTCTCCACGCCGATGGCGCCGATGCATCGCTGACGTCGCCGATGCATCGCCGATGCGTCCGCGAAGCATTTGCGATGCGGCGCGATCCTCCGATCCCATCTGCTCGGACCCCATCTAGGAGGCTTCTTATTATCCACATGCGGTAGGTTCGCGTCGTGTCGACTGGCGGCGACCCCGTCGTCGGCGGTGAACGTTGAGCGCAGCCGGCGACCCAGAATCGGTCGATGTTGAGCGATCTGAAACGGCCGATCATTCAAGGTTGACCGATACCCGCGGGTTCAGGAGCCAACGCCTACGTCAGCACGACGCGAACCTGCCGTATCTCCGACGTGTATTCCACTGACGTCCCCAGGCCTCCCCGCGTTCGCGGCTGGAGATGTGGAACATTTCCGCACGTTTCGGTCGCTTCTCGGCGTTTTCCCGGCCTCGGGACGTTCTCCAGCAGCCGCGGCTCGCCGAGAGGCGTCTGCAGTTGCCCAGATCGTCCCGAAGGGCCGCCGGAGGCCCGAGCTGTGACCCGAACACCAGGCGAGGACCGGTTCGGGGGTGGGGGCGGGACTCAGGAGGAGAAAAAACACACAGACACAATGAATCGTCGATCCCCCAGAAAAGATGGAAAAATATGGGAGTTGGGCGGGAAGACAAAAACCCAGAAAATGTAAGAAGATATGGGGAATCTCTGTTTATTTGTGCCTATTTCTTTGTGTGTCCCAGATCCCCTTCGCATCGCAAGACCACACGACGCGGAAGGTGTTCGCCGCCGCGCTGTCGGCCTCTGGGGGCCTTCACACAGGGCCCATGGGAGGGTCACAAGGAGCGACTCGGGAGGAAAAACGCCTGGCCCCCCCGTGGAGGGGTGCAGATTTCTGGGGAGCCGCTGGGTCGTGCAGGAGAAGGCGGAGGAGGAGGAGGAGGAGGAGGAGGAGGAGGAGGAGGAGGAGGAGGAGGCTCTGTTTGCAGCGCTGGCTGACTTGGGCCCCGGAGTGCCCAATCGGGCCGGTGGTGCCTGACAGGAGAGGTGCTGGCATGTGGACGAGATGCGATGGAGAGGTGCTGTGGGCGGGTGCTGAGGAGGCACTGTGGCGTGTGGTAGCACGAGCCGCCGCAGGAAAAAAAGACGTTTGCCACGCTGGCTCCAGAGATTGCGACGCCGCCCCCTGGGTGGAGCAGATGCCTCGCCGCGCGGGGCGTTCTGATGGCCCAGGCGCCCGGCGCGTGCGTGCAGATGCTCAAAAGCTTAGGGACAGACTCGCCAGCACGCTTTGCCATGACGCTGGAGGCCTGGGCTTCTGCTGTCCAGAGTGGCAGGGGTAAGTACAGTGCCGTTTTTAATACATGCTCCGCGTGCGGATCATGTATTAGAAATGCTGGGATTTAGTATTAAAAACAACGATGAGTTCATGGATAAGTTCTTTCATACATTGGTCATGCATTAAAAAAATCCAATATGTTTAAAAATCCCATGTATTAAAAACTGCCCTGTATGGTAGTCTGGATATCAAGAGTGGCCGGGTGCAGTATGATTGAGTGCTTACGTGCTGCAAATTGGCGCCGCCCCGACCCCGGTGGCGACGCTGGCGAAGGCGTTCGAGGTTGAACTCCCGATGGGGCCTGCTTACGGCGCCAAAGCCATGTGGGCGGGTCCAGGAATGCCCTAGAGGTGTCCTGGAGGATGTTCTGTAGCGTCAGTGTCCTGGAGGGCGCCCTGGCATGATCCGGTGCCTTGGACGGCGTGGAGGTGTCCTGGAGAGCGTCCTGGAAAGTGTTCTAGAGGGTGTCTTGGAGGTGTCATGGAGGGTGTCATGGAGCGCACCATGGAACGTGTCCTGGAGGGCGTCATGGAGCGCGTCCTGAAGCGCGTCCTGAGAGTGCCCTG